TATATATATATATATATATATATATATATATATATATATTTATATATATAATTTTTATATTGAATAGTTCAAATTACAATTATTTTGGAAACATATTTTGCAGATCAAAAAACTATTTCACATTTTAATATTTGCTAATGCATTTTAAGAAGTATGTTATAGGGGTGAGCGTGGGTCAGTACGGTTCGGAGATTGATAAATCTCCGGAACCGTACCAAAATTTGGAGATCCCAAATTTTGATCTTCGAAATCGTACAAAAAAAATGGTTCGATTCGGTCCAGAGTTTGTTTCGGTTCAATATTCGGGACTATTAGGACGGTTCAGTTCGGTATGGTTTGGTTCGGATCTTCAGAGGTTTCTTATTTTTTAATTTTTTTTTGAATGACTACCATGTATATATTATTTTTTATATGCTTTAAAAAAACAACATTCATCAATAATTCATCATATTGAAGATTTTATTTTGAAATTAATTTTAGAAGTAATTTTTATATGCTTTAATAAAATCAACATTCATCAGTACTTCCTCATATTAAAGTTTTATTTTGAAATCAACTTTAGAAGTAACTCTAAATTTTATTTAAGACTAAATTTGTGCAACTAATATTGAAAATTTAAAATTCAAACAAAATATAATTTTATTAAAAAAATATTTTTTAACCAATCATATTATTGTAAATAATTATTTATATGACAAAAAAATTCAATTGTAGATCAAGTATTATTAAGCATGAAATTTAAGTGAAGGTTAATAGTTATTACTATATTATATAGGATTAAAGTTGATATAAAATATATTAATAACGCATCTAATGTTATAATCTGGTTCTTTGGTTCGGTACGGTATGGGACAATTTTGTTCGGTTCTCGGTACGGATATTTGTGAAATCTCCAGAACCGTACCAATTATTTTTTCGGTTTGGTTCGGTTCAGTTCGTAGAAAGTCAAATGGTCAACCGATATTTTTTGGTTCGGATTGATTTCGGAACGGTTCAGAATTCTCTGAGTCCCATGCTCAGCCCTAGTATGTTATACACATTTTAAAAAATCGAGCCCATAACAAATAAGCAAGAATTATGGACCAAATACGCCCAACACAAAAGATAAGCAACATTGGCCCAAAAGGTTGCGCTTTATGTCGATCTTCACTTGAGATAATTGTCAATCCCTCGGCAAACTGTTGTCGATCTCTCTGCAGAGTATGAACGCCCTCTAAAAATAGAACCGATAAAGCGACTGCCCAACCAGTCCCTTCATGAAAAGCCGAAATAAATGTAACATCCTCAAAAGTTGGATTTTTGCATGGCAACATGTGTCGGCTAACTAGGCCCTTATCAACCGTTCTATCTCATCCTTTAAGTGTCTACAGTCATCTTTGGTATGCCTATAATCCTTGTGGAATTGACAGTATAAGTTACTCTTAAGTCGAGTAGATCATTCCTTCATAGTTTTCGCCCATGTCACCATAATCTCATGTACCTCGTTTCTGTAACCTCCAAGATCCTAGCTTGATACGCTAATAGGGGTGTTTAATGGAGTTACCTCGAACCACCCTTTAGAGATCATCCATCCCACTTATCTGGCCTCCGCTGCTCCTTTTTCTCACCTGAAGCGTTATGTTTCTTTTCTTTATTTTCCTCTCGTGCCTCTACCTTGGCTAACTTAGTTTCTTGCAAAAAGACGACTTTTGCTTCTTTTACATTCATGTACTTTGTACACCATTCCAATACTTCGTCAAAAGTCGTGCCAGGTCTTTTGGACAAAGATTTCCTGCATAATCAAGGTCGCAGTCCTTTGATTAGTCCCCCAAAATTGATTTCCTCTGACACCGAAGGAACGTCCCTCACAGGCCCTAGTATAAGGGGCACATAATCCCTTAATGATTCATTCTGTTTCCGTTGCATTCCAATCAAAGTAATGTAAGTTTTCCCATGCACTTTGACACTCGTAAATTGAGTGATGAAACTCAAGTTAAATCCCTCGAAGTCATGTGTAGCTCCTGACAATAGTTGATGAAACCAATCATGTGCAGATCCTAGCAAAGTGGCTAGAACAAATGTACATCGAACTAGATCATTGTACATATGCAATGCCCCCATGTTTTCAAAACACCTCAGATGCCTTGACGAGTCGGTGGACCCATCATACCACAGATTGAGCTCTCTGAATCCCTGGGGAAGATTTGCGTCCAGGATCTCCTGTGAGAAGTGATGACCCCTAGAGCTACCTCATCTCTTCCCCTCGACATTCGCTTGCAGGTCGCGAACTTATGCCATCAACTTCTTCAATGTATCATCCTTTGTTTACTGAGTGATGGTCTTCTATAAATTCCTCATCATCTCTCCTTTGATTAGTGTGGTGTTGCTCCATTGAATGGGAATGTTGATCCTGATTTTATCGGGCTACTTGCTTAGGTCGGGTTTCTTGATCAAGTCAAGCTACTACTGCCTCCGCGATCATTTTCTGCAGTTCAACCCGAGTAAGAATAACAATCTTGTCATCCGGTCGAGGTCTCTGTGCCTGAGACGTCTTTCCCTCATGCCTCTGCAATCCTTCCCTAGACTCCTGCTCGTCTTCTGCTGGGGTTGGATGTCGTAACTGACTGATTCCTTCTAGAGCCACTCTTGGTGGGGTAACAGGCATCCCATCATTCAAACGTGCTACTGGCGGTGCATGACCGTCAAACGGTGGCATCCCAAATATAGAAATCATAGTCTTGGGGCTGAGAATCACCGGAGGTCTCCTTTCAGTCCAAATCCCTCTAAATTCTACATTCAAGTTCTTCTGTATGCCCTCATCTCAGCCATTTGAGGTTGTCAAAATCTGGTGCAAAACTCTTAATTTCTTCAAAAGCTTCCCACAACCGCGCGTGAACCTTCAAAAACCCAACGTTGTAGATGATTCTAGTGCAAAGCCTCCGATGCTTAATTCAACATAAGGAAGATGATGATGCTCTCTAAATAAGAGCAATATAGAATGTATATAGAGTGTAAAGATCAAGGATTGGCGATGCGTTAGCCTTTTTTATAAGGAAATACATGCCCGAAATACTCTGCTAGAGTGCCCGCAGGCAGCCTACCCAGCTGCCAGACTTAATTCTTATCCATATACTAATCATCTCCTAGTCACCTTAAGATTTCATCTTATCCACGTAAGATTCCTTCTTATTCTCTTTATATTCTTTGTCCTTGATTTCTATTGGTTTAGGTCATGTTTTCCTTACAGATCATCCCCAAACAGTCGAGGTTAAGTTATACTAAGTTGGGTTTACTCAGGACGTCTTTCAGATAGGGACCCTTAGGTCGCTTAAGGGTTAGGTCATCTTCATAGCCCGAGGTCATTAATCTGTAGCGTCCAATGATAAGGTCGTCTAACTGCCCATCTTGGAGATCCTCGACTTTTGACAACTCATTCTCCACTTCGGTCGAGCTCCTCGTACATAGGATAGTTTTGGTCCAAATATATGGCTAGAACGTCCCACTTGAGATTATTGTCGATCCCTCGACAGACTGATGTTGATCTCTATGCAGAGTATGAACGTCCTTTGACACTGAAACCATTAAAGCTACCGCTCAATCGATCTCTTCATCGAAAACCAAAATACATGTCCCATCTTCAAAAGTGGAATCTTTGCATGGCAACACATGTCGACTACCTGGCCCCCAAGGTAGCACACTGCTGTCATTGTATTTTATTTTTTCAGCATATAAATGAGGTGCCTAAAACCTCATACACACAACAACATCAACCACATACTACCCTGAAAAACAATAAACTCTCAATCAAAATTCTATTATCATTCCGCCAAACGGTCGTCAAATCGTGCGTGCTCTTTAATTTCATGCACTTTTAATTCAATTTTGTGCTATTAATGTAAATCCAGTCTATAAATCACCGATAATACGTCTTAGTTTCTTGACTGAGATAATTTGCGACCAATCATCGACAAAATATATTAGTGCAAACTTGGAAACACTTAATGCGAGATTACGTTTTTCATTGATCAGTTAATTACTAACATCTTAATGCATATTTAGAAATGCATGAATACTAAATTATATGTTTGTTGAATATATGGCTAGAATTTGGTCTAATGCTTCTATTTCAAGAAGTTGTTCAACCAAATCCTATGTATTCTGTATTTGTTCTTTGTTAGTAAAATCTTCCATCGTTGGTAAAGAAAATGAACCTTTTTTTAGGGTTAATTGCTTTTTGAACCTTGACCTTTCAGCTTTTGGCAATTTAATTCAAACTTTTAGATAAGTGCAATATAATCTTGACATTGTCCTACTTTTGGAAAACGAACCTTAAATTCGTCGGACGTTAAAAAAATGGCAACGTGTCCGGCTAGTTATATCCACGTTGGACTATCAGTTTGCTGAGTTGCGATTTTTTATGACTGAAAACTTATGTGGCGATGACATGGCTCATATGTGAAATTAACAAGTTATCAAAAAATAAAATAAATAAATAAAAATTACAACACAATAAAAATTTTTAAAATGTGCCCCAAATAAACCAATCAAGATAATTAGAGCTTATAAAAATGCGTCATTGATTAATCACGCTTATCCTAATCATCAAAAAATGCAAGGAAAAAAAAAATCCAACGCCTAAAACCCACACGGTCATCCTATTAACCTTTTTCGGCCAAAATATCCTCATCTCCTGCGCCGCCAGGATGGAATATTCCGGCGCGACCCTTCACACCCACAACACAGCCGAATTTATCGTCGGTTGGACATTCTTCTCCAGCCCCATGTCCTTTCAGTCCGAATTGCTCCTTCTTGACAAAATTCGTATTACCGATCTTGTCTTCCTAGACTGAAGCGTGCTCCATGGCCACGACATGGCCTTTATCGTCGTCCTTTCCGCCAAGATCTGGAAATCCTCAGCAGCAAGGCATCTTGGCCTAACGAGCACTGCCACAGATGAGAACCAAAAAAACACCACCTTACCTTAGAGCTCGATGTGATCTGGAGTCCAGATCTGGGTGACCACGATTACAACCACGTTGACGTGGATCAAAAGTCAGCCAAATAGGTGGCGGCCGCCACTGTGGGGTACTGAAACGAGGCAGCGGGTGGAAGGTTTTCGTTGAAGATGAATTGGAGATAGGTTAGAGTTTGGACAGAGTATGGTGACAGGAGGCTTACGTGGCGAGGGATATGGTTTGAATTTAGTCACGCTCATTAAACTGCAAGTTTCACCTAGATATAACTAGCCAGACACATGGACATTTTCTGAACGTCCGACGAATTTAAGATTCGGTTTGCTAAAATACGACACGATCAAGATTATATATGTAATTATCTAAAAGTTTGAATTAAATTGTCAAAACCTAAAAAGTCAAGATTTAAATAGCAATTAATCCTTTTTTATGTTAATTTCAAATCCGTCTTGTAAATTGATCATGCAATTCAAGCACTCAAAGATAAGAGAAACGTTTTCACATTTAGAGATAAACGTGCTGAAATCCATAAATTCACAACCCAAGGCCAACCAAATCAAAATAGCCAGTAGGTTGATTAAAACAGACGGTCCCAGCCGTCACGATTTCTCCACCCATGTTCAGATCAAAATCAAAATTCAGGCAGAGCTTTACAACTAATTATTATTATTATCTTTTTTCCATACCGATTTAATATTCAATACCCCAACTTGCTCAATATCGACTAAAAAAAAACAAAAAAAAAAAAGGCTTAATATGACCCAAAAAAACAAAAGAAGAATCTCTGACAGAAAACGGTTTCCCAAGAATCCAATGGTTTTCCTAAGCCAAAAACGTTAAAACAACCAAAAGTCACTCGACCAACCTCTAAGCTTGGCCCTGCGCGAGTTTAATCCTCTGGTGATGCTCGGCCACTTTGTAGTCCACAATCTCCTTAAACAAGCTCGAGTCCAACACACAATCCGCCCGCCCGTACACTGCCGCCTGCACGCTCGCCATCAGCTTTGCAATCTCCCGGCCAGAGAACCCCTCAGTCCTCCTGGCGGCCTCGCGTATGACATCATCCGACAGGTCCTTTATGGTTATCTTCTGCGGATTCTTTTTAAAAAGAAGTCCCGGGCCCCATTTGCCTGGCCCGTTTGCATGGCCCGATTCGCCTTGGAGGTACTTTGATAGGTAGAGCTTGAGGAGCTTGAAGCGCTCGTCTTCCTTGGGGAGTGGGAACTCGATGACCTCGTCGATGCGGTCAGTGATGGCACTGTCGAGGTCCGCGGGCCGGTTGGTGGCGAGGACGAGGACAACGTCCCTCGATTGGTCCCCCGTGCGGAAGAGCAACGCATTCAACGCGCTCCTCTGGGCTTCGCTCATGTTCGTGCTGTTCCGTCTACATAGCAAGAAACGCCATAACATGCGAGAAGACAAATTTAGGGATAGTCGAATTTAAAAATGATGTGATGTGTAAAATAACAAGGTCGTGCCACGTGTATTATGTCAAAAAAGTATGTCTTCCCTTATTTTCGTGTAGATTTTTAAAACATCGGATCTACTGTCAGTTACGTACTTATAAAGTGAAATGTCATACTTGTTCAGAACAACTAATTAAAGTACTGACATATCTCACTGTAATAATGTGCATTATTAAAAAAAA